TATATTCAGGTTCTTAATCCATTTTGAGTTAATTTAGGTGTGTGGTGATAGACAACAGTCTAGTTTCATTCTTTTGCAGGTGGCCTTCCACTTTTCCCAGCACCATTTATTGAAGAGGCTTTTCTTTCTCCACTGTATGTTTTTGGTGTTTCTGTTGACAATTATTTGCCGTATAAATATGGGTTTACTTCTGGACTCTTGATTTTGTTCCACTGGTTGGTTTTCTTGTTCTATGTTATGTACAACGGTTCTGAATCTTTGGCATGTGGTTACCATTATGAATATGTAAAGGATAGTTGTATATATATGTGTGTGTGTGTGTGTATACACACACACACACACACACACACACACACACACACATATATATAGTCGTCCATTTTCTTCCGTGCGTGCCTCATCTTCATTCCCCTTTGCAATTTTGGATCTTTGAATTCTTGTATCTACTTTGATTTCTTTTAATAGTGTCTTATAGTTTTAATTATATAGGTCCTTAACTTGTTTCATTAAATTTATTCTTTTTGTTTTAATTATATAGTTCCTTAACTTCTTTCATTAAATTTATTCTTTTTGTTGCAATTGCAAAAGGAATTATTATGTTTTTAACTTCTTTTTGACACTCCATTATTAGAGTAGGGGAACTTGCACTCCTCTGCTTCTATTTGCCTTATAGTCACTGACTTTACTCCTAATTATGTATTTTTTTTTCATCATTTATTTCAGGTGAACTGACCCCTTTCAGTGTTTCCTGTAATGCAGGCCTTGTAGTTGAGATTCTGTATGTCTGGAAACCGCAAATGGTGACAGTTTGATTTCTTTGTTTCCTATGTAGATGCCTTTTATATCTTTCTCTTGCCTGATTGCACTCACTAGGACCTCTAATGTTATATTGAATAAGAGTGGTGATAGTGGACAGCTTTGCCTTGTTCCTAATCTTTGAAGGAAGGTTTTTAGTTTTTCACCATAAAGTATAATTTTGGCTGAGGGTTTGTTATAGATGGCCTCCAGGTACTTTTCCCGTAGTTTCTTTTACTTAATAATTTAAATATTTGATTTCTTTCCTTTCTGGCTTGTACGGTTTGTACTGAGAATTCTGAGGATAATCTAATGGGTTTACTTTTACAAGTTACCATTTTTTTCTCCCTGGCTTCCCTCAGAAATCTGTCTTTGTTGTTGATTTTTGACAACTTAAATAGAATGCGTCTTGGTGAAGGCCTTTTTGGATTGAGATAATTGAGTGTTCTGTTGACTTTTTGTATTCCAAGCTCCATTGTTTATGTGGTGTATCATATTAATCGATTTGCATGTGTTGAACCATCCCTGAACCTCTGGGATGAAGCCCACTTCATCATGGTGTATAATCTTTTTAATATGTTGCTGTATTTCGTTCACTCGTATCTTATTTAGGATTTTTGCATGCGTGTTCATGAGAGATATTGGTCTGTAGTTTTTTTTGTGTTATCTTTACCACGTTTTGTATTAGAGTAATATTGGCCTTATAAAATGAATTGGGAAGTATTGCCTCCTCCTCAATTTTTCGCAAGAGTTTGAGGAGAATAGGTAATAAGTCTTCTTTGAATCTTTGGTAGAATTCACTGGTGAAGCTATCTGGTCCTGGATTTTTAGTCTTTGGTTAGTTTTTGATGATTGTTGGAATTTCCGTATTGCATGCAGTGTGTTCTTCATCTCCAGAAGTTCTGTTTGGATTCTCAGTTCTGTTTCATTGGTCTGTGTATCTATTTTTCTGCCAATAACTGCTATTTTGATCATGGTAGCTTTGTAGTGTAATTTGAAGTCAGGCAGTGTGATACCTTTGGCTTTGTTCTTTTTTCCTCAGGATTTCTCTGGGTATTTGGGCTCTTCTGTGATTTCATATAAATATGATATCTTTTTGATTTATATCTTTAAAAAATACCATTGAGATTTTAATGGGGATTGCATTAAATTTGTGTATTGCTTTGGGTAGTATGGCCATTTTAACTGTGTTGATTTTTACGATTCCCGAACATGGAATATCTTTCCATTTCTTTGTGTCTTCTTCAGTTTTTTAAAATAATGCCTTGTTGTTTTCAGTATATAGTTCCTTCACATTGTTTAAGTTGCAGAAAGAATTGTTTTATTTCTTTTTCTGAAGTTTTATTGTTAATATATAGGAATGCAATGGATTTTTGTACATTCATTTTTGTATCCTGCAACTTTCCTTATTTGAATTTCATCCTAAGGTAATGGAGAGTCATTAGAACATTTTAAGCAGAGAGTGACATGTTCATGCTTTCATTTTAGAATCACCATTTTTGTAATAGTGTAGGAAATGGATTGCTTGTGATAAAATTAGAGAATGAGGAACCATTTAAGAGATTATTTAAATATTCAAGTAAAAATTTATAAATTAGTAATATTAGGAATAGAAAGAAAAGAACAATTGAAAAAGTTACTGAGGAGGTTGAACTAGAAGGACTTGTAAATTGATTTGATTTAGTCATTCACTTAATAAATTTATTGTGCATATTCTAGATGCCAGATACTGTTCTGTTTATTGGGGCTACAAAAGTGAACAAAACAGAAAAAATTCTGTTCTCATGGAACATGTAGCATAATAAATGTGGGAGGTCATAGATGATGATATTATTAGCTGTAGTAGTGAAAATGTAAATAGGAGCAGATTTTTGAGGAAGTATAATAAGTTTAGTTTTGGATATGTTTAATCTTAGGGTCTTGTGGAACATCAAAGGGATAATATACTTCAGAGATATGATTTATAGATCTGGGATTTGACTCTGGCACATTCCACAGGACTTATTCAGATTTTAGCGGTTGTATATACATTCATGTGTGTGTGTGTATTTCATTTTATGCTATGGTAGTCTTGTGTAACTCATAACCACAGTCAAGACATGCAATAGTTCCGTAACCACACGACTCTCTTACGTTATCCCTTTATAATCACACCCATATCTCCCCCTTTCTACACTTATTAACCCTTGTAATTACTAATCTGTTCCATATCTATATGATTTTAGCAATATTGCATAAATTTGATCATGCTGTATGTATCCTTTTGAGATTTCTTTTATACTCAGTGTAATTTTCTTGAAGTTTATGCAAGCTGGTTTATATATAAAAAGTTCATTTCCTTTTTATTACTGAGTAGTATTCCATGGTATGAATGTATTATAGTTTGTTTAACCAGTTAACCACTGAAGGATATATGAGTTTTGAGCTCTTATAAATAAAGCTGTTATAAACATTTATGGGTAGGGTTTTTTTGGAAGTGTTTAGGTTAAATGTTCTGGAGTGCAATTGTTAGGTTATATTGTAATTTTAAAAGTTACTTATTAGGCTGTACGCCAGCATGTATGAGTGATTCAAACTTACATTTTTTTTTATTTGTTGCTGGCTTATTTTGAACTGTTCTAACCCAGAGCAGCCTCAACCTGTGAAAGCAGATGGAGAGTAAATCTCAAACATATCACAAATTTGTATTTATTTATTTATGTATTTATGTATTTATATTTAAAATTAATTTTGTTTTTTTTTCCAGTATGATTACTTGGGCTCTGATAGCATGATAGTAACAAATAAAGTCATTGATATTATTGGCCTTGTAAATTCAGTAAGTATTTTTCTTTTCATTCTACTTAGAAAAATCATACTAGTTTTGAAATTAAAATTTTCATTAACTTGATTGTTATTTCTAAGTAATAAAGTCATCCACATAAACTAAGTGTGGATTCGTCAAAACATTGAATTAATTTGTTGGTCATGTAAAGTAACATGAAGATTAATTTTTCATGTATTTATCTCTTCTGTTTTTAGGTGTTTGCCCAATTTAAAGTTACTATTGTGTTGTCATCATTGGAGTTGTGGTCAGATATAAATAAAATTTCTACAGTTGGTGAGGCAGACGAATTATTGCATAGATTTTTAAAATGGAAAAAGTCTTATCTTACCCTAAGGCCTCATGATATTGCATATCTATTCATGTAAGAATAATGTTTCAGTATTCTTAGAAAACAAAGATCTGCGATAATGATATAGCTTTGTTTAGGGAATTATTGTTCATTTCTGACCATTGCAAAGGGGAAGTGAGGTTTAATAGAAATGGATAATGGAAAAAAAGTTTTCCAGCAAGCAGAAGCTAAAGGCTATCATAACCAGTTGACTGATTCTACAAGAATGTCAGAGACATCTTTAGCTGAAAGGAAAGGGTGCTAATTAATAACAGGAAATCATATGAAAATATAAATCTCACTGGTATACACACACACACACACACACACACATCCACACACACACACACATCCACACACATCCAGACTAATCTAATGTTGTAAAGGTTGGCGGGGGGGAGTTAATCACTTGTAAAGCTTCTATGATGGTTAAAAGACCAAAGTAGTAAAAATTCTCATAGCTACAATAATTTGTTAAGGGATGCACAAGTTAAATATAAATTGTGACATCGAAAACAAAACGTGGGAATGGTGAGAGTAAAAACGTAGTTTTAAAATGTATTTAAACTGAAGTTGTTTTAATCTAAAATATACTGTTACAAATATAACTTGTTTTATGTAGGCCTCATGGTAGCCACAAAGCCATAACCCATAGGATAGACACAAAAGATAAGATTAAAGGAATCTAAGCATACTATTACAAAAATTATCAAATCTCAAGGGAAGAGAGTAAGAGAAGAGGAAATGAACAGAGGAATTACAGAACATCCAGAAAACGATAAATAAAATAGTATTAAGTACATAGCTTTCAATAATTACTTTAAATATAAAAAGACTAAATTTTCTAGGTAAAAGACAGAGCAGGTGAGTGGATTAAAAACAAGACCCATCTATATGCTGCCTACAAGAGACTTGCTTGAGATGTAAGGATTCACACAGACTGAGTGTGAAGAGATAGAACAAGATATTCCATGGAAATGGAAACCAAAAGAAGTCTGGGGTAACTTATATAAGACAAAATCGACTTTAGACAAAGACTGTACTAAGTGAGAAAGAAGGTCATTATATAATGTTAAGGGGATCAATCCAAATAAATATATTCCTTTTATTTTTCTTGCCTAATTGCTCTGGCTAGGACTTCTAATAATATACTGAATAATGGTGGTCAGAGTGGGCATCCTTGTCTGTTCCTGATCTTAGAGGAAAAGCTTTCTGTTTTTCATTTTTGAGTATGATATCAGCTGTGGACTTATCATATATAGCTTTTATTATGTTGAGGTATGTTCTCTCTTCACCTGCTTGGTTGAGAGTTGTTAAAATGGATTTAGATTTTCTCTAATGCTTTTACTGTATATATTGAGATGATCATATGTTGTTTATCCTTAATTTTGTTAATGCGGATTATCACTTTGTTGATTTCAGATGTTGAATCATCTTTGCCTTGCTGGAATAATCCCACTCGATCATGGTGTATGATCCTTTTATTTTTATTTTATTTCATTTTTTATTTTCAGTTTTGCATTTCTTTATTAAAATAATTGGGATGACATTGATTATAAAATCAAATAAATTTTGAGTGCACAATTCAACAGTATGTTATATATATATGTAATGTTATACATATGTGTGTGTGTGTGTGTGTGTGTGTGTGTGTGTGTGTGTATGTTCACCACCCAAAGTTAAATTTCCTTCTGCCACCAGATAATTGACTGCCTTACCCCTTTTTTCTTCCTCCTCTCCTCTTTTCTCTGGTAACCATAAGTCCACTGTCCATATCCATGAGTTTCTGTTTGTTTGCATGTTTGTTTGTTACTTTTATTTTTATATCCCACATATGAGTGAAATCATATGGTTCTCAACATTTTCTGTCTTATTTTGCTTAGCATGATAATCTGAAGATACATCTATGTCGTAGCAAATGGCAGTACTTTACCTTTTCTTACAGATGAGTAATATTCCATCGTATATATGTACCACATCTTCTTTATCCAGTCATCTGTCATAGGACACTTTGGTTGCTTCCATGTCCTGGCTACTGTGAATAATGCTGCTATGAACATCAGGGTGTATATATCTTTGTGGACAAATGTTTTCAGATTTTTTGGGTAAATACCCAGAAGAGGGCTTGCTGGGTCATATGGTAATTCATTCTTAGTTTTTTAAGGAGCTTCCATACTGTTTTCCATGGTGATTGTACCAACTTACATTCCTAGCAGTAGTGTATGAGTGTTCGTTTTCCCCACAGCTTCTCCAATACTCTTATTATTTGTCCTGTTGATGATAGCCATTCCAACAGGTGTGAGATTGTATCTCATTGTGGTTTTGATTTGTGTTTCCCTAATAGCTAGTGAAGTTAAGCATATTTTCATGTCCGTTGGCCATTTGTATGTCTTCCAGGAAGAAATGTCTGTTCAGGTCCTCTGCCCATTTTTTAATTAGATTTTTTTTGTTGAGTTTTTTGAGTTCTTTATATATTTCGAATAATAGGCTCTTATCAGAGGTGTTGTTTGTAAATATATTCTCCCATTTGGATTGTTGCCACTTGTCTTATTGATGGTTTCTTTTGCTGTGTGGAAGCTTCTTAGTTTGCTATAGTCTCATTTATTTATATTTGCTTTTACTTCGCTTGCTTTTGAGGCCAAATTCATAAAATCCTCTCGAAGACCAAGATCCAGAAGTTTAGTACCTATGTTTTCTTCTATGCAATTTAATGTTTCAGGTCTTATATTCAGGTCTTTGATGATCCATTTTGAGTTAATTTTTGTGTATGGTGATAGAAGTTTCATTCTTTTGCATGTGGCTTTCCAGTTTTACCAGGACTATTTATTGAAGAGGCTTTTCTTTCTCTAACATAAGTTTTTGGCTCCTTTGTCGAAAATTATTTGCCCTTAAATATGGAGGTTTACTTCTGGACTCTCAATTCTGTTTCATTGGTCTGTGTGTGTTTTTCAGCCAACACCTGTTATTTTGATCATTGTTGCTTTGTAGTGTAATTTTAAGTTAGGCAAAGTGATACCTTTGGCCTTGTTCTTTTTTCTCAGGATTTCTTTGGGTATCAGGCTCTTTTGTGATTCCATACAAATCTGATAGTTTTTTGTTCTATTTCTTTAAAAGATGCCATTGGTATTTTGATTAATATTGCATCAAGTCTGTGTAATGCTTTAGGTAATACGGTCATTTTTTCCCCTTCCTCTTTAATCTCCCCCTGCCACACCCCTTACACCCCTGACCCATGGATATTGCCGTTTCCCCTTAAGAACTGAATTTCTGAGGGCGGGGCGTCTCCTTCCACATGCTCACAATGTGTATCAGGGGTCTGGCACCCTGGGGTATGGCCCACCCAGGGTATAGGGCACCTGGGGTATGGTCCATGGCTCCACCTGGGGCGTGAGCCCAGGACCTTCTGCATGCAAAGCAGATGTGCTACCCACTACACTAAGGTGATAGAACTGGAAATATTGTCATTTTAACTATGTTGATTCTTCCAATTCAAGAACATGGAATATATTTCCATTTCTTTGTGTCTTCTTCAATTTTTTTAATAATGTCTTATAATTTTCAGTATAGGTCCTTCTCTTGTTTCATTAGATTTTGTTCCCTAGGTATTTTACTCTTTGTTGCAGTTGCAAAAGGAATTTTTTTAAAAATTATTTTTCTGAAAATTTTTTGTTAGAATATAGAACATTATGGATTTCTGAACATTGATTTTGTATCCTGAAACTTTACTATATTTGTTTGTTATTTCTAATAGGTTTTTAGTGGAGTTTTTTAGGGTTTTCTATATAGAAAATCATGTGATCTGCAAAAAGTGACAGTTGGAGATCTTCATTTCCTATTGGGATGCCTTTTATTTCTTTCTCTTGCCCAATTGCTCTAGCTAGGACTTCCTAAACAATATTGAATAATAGTGGTAATAGCAGACAGACTTGTGTTGTCCCTGATCTTAGAGGAAAGGTTTTTAGTTTTTCAACATTAATTATCATGTTAGCTTAGGGTTTGACATATATGGCTTTTATTATGTTGAGATACTTTCCTTCTATACCTATTTTATTATGTATTTTAATCATAAATGGATACTGTATCTTGTCAAGTGCTTTTGGTACATCTATTGATGTGATCATATGCTTTTATTTTTTATTTTGTTTATGCAGTGTATCACATTAATCAATATGTATATGTTATACCTTCCTGTTCCCCTAGGATGAAGCCCATTTGATCAGGGTGTATAATCTTTTTCGTGTGTAGTTGTATTCAATTTGCTAGTATTTTATAGAGGATTTTTGCATCTGTGTTCATGAGAAATATTGATCTATAGTTTTCTGTTTTCGTGTTATCTTTACCAGGTTTTGGTATCAGGGTAATGTTGGCCTTATAAAATGTGTTAGGAAGTATTGAGTATTCTTTAAATTTTTTGGAAAAGTTGGAAAAGAATAGATATTAATTTTTTTTTTTTTTGAATAGTAGGATTCACTGGTGAAACCATCTGATCCTGGACTTTTACCTTTGGGGAGATTTTTAACAATTGTTTCAATTTCCATACTGTTCATCAGTATATTTAGATTTTCCAGTTCTTTATGATTCAGTCTAGGAAGGTTGTATATTTCTAAGAAATTGTACATTTCTTCTAGGTTATTAAATTTAGTAGCATATAATATTTATAGTATTCTTGTATGACCCTTTATATTTTAGTGTTATCTCTGTTGTAACTTCTTTCATTTCTGGTTTTGTTTATTTGCGTATTTTCTCTTTTTTCCTTAGTGAATCTAGCCAGGGATTGGTCAGTTTTATTAATCTTCTCAAAGAAACAGCTTTTTTGTGCAGTAATTTTTTTCAATTGTTTTTTTTTTTGTTCTCAATTTCATTTCATTCTAATTTTTATTATATTATTTGTATTATATTATTCCTTCTGCTGACCTTGGGCTTCATTTGTTCTTTTTTTTTTTTTAGTTTTTTAAGATTTAATATTAGTTTTTTTTTTAAAATTTGGGATCATTTTTGTTTCTTGAGATAGGATGATATGAACTTTCCTCTTACTACTTCTTTTGCTATGTCCCAAAAGTTTTGATGTGTTATATTTTCATTTTAATTTGTTTATATGTATCTCCTGATCTCTTCTTTTCTTTCTTGTATGAGTCAGTCTTTCTTTAGTAGCATGTTGTTTAATCTTCATGTATTTATTGTTCTTCCTACTTTCTTTTTACAGTTGATCTCCAGTTTCAAAACATTATAGTCAGAGAATATGCTTGGTATAATTTCAATCTTAAATTTGTTGAGGCTAGTTTTGTGTCCCAACATATGGTCTATCCATGAGAATGTTCCATGTGCACTAGAGAAGAATGTATAAGCTGCAGTTTTGGCATGAAAGGCTCTGTAATGTCAGTTATTCTCAATTGGTCTAATATGTCATTTAAGGATAATATTTTCTTATTGATTTTTTGTTTGGATGATCTATTTATAGCTGACAGTTGGGTATTTAGGTCTCCTATTATAATTGTGTTTTTGTCAGTTTCTCCCTATAGTTCTGTTAGTAGTTGCTTTATATAATTTGGTGCTCCCTGATTGGGAACATAAATATTGATAAGTGTTAGATCTTCTTGATGTATGGTTCCCTTTATCATTATGAAGTGTCTATCATTGTTTCTTGTTACTTTTTTTTTTATCTTAATGTATGTTTTGTGAGATATAAGTATGGCTACACCCACTTTTCTCTAGATGCCATTTGTTCAGAGAATACCTTTCTACCCCTTCACTTTGAGTCTATGTTTGTTTGCAACTGGGCTGTGTTTCTTAAAGGCAGTGTATGGTTGGGTTTTGTTTTTTGATCCAGTCTGCTACCCTATTTCTTTTTATTGGTGAGTTCAGTCCATTTACATTTAGGGTGATTGTTGAAATATGAGGTCTTCTTATAGCCATTTTATATTTTGTTTTGAGATGGCTTGATCTCATTGTTTCTTTGTCCTTGTATTTCTGTTATTTTAATTTGGTGTTGTTTTGTTTTATTCCCTTTGTTCTCTCTTGTTTTATGTTATGTATCTCAGTTCTAGATTTTTTATGTGTAGTTACCATTAAGTTTATGAAAGGATAGTTTCATGTATTCAGTAGTCCATTTTCTTCTGCATGCACCTTTTCTCCATTCTCCTTTGCATATTTGAATCTCGACTCCTTCTATTTTCTGTTTTTGTTGTCTCAAATTATTCCTATATATACTATACGTTCATTTCTAAGTTGCAATAGCTGTTGTCGTCTCTTTTTTCAAGTGGTTTTTTTTTTTTTGGTCTGTAATTAGTATGGAATATTTCAGTTTATAACACCTTGTTTTTAATAAGGGTTGTAATATCCTGTTTCTGTCTGCCTGTTAGTTATTTTACTCATAGTTATGTATTTTTGTATGTCTGAAAATGTCTTTATTTCCTTTCATATCTAAAGGGGGAATTTGCTGGATATATTATTCTTAGGTAGTAATTTCTGTCTTTCAGTAATTTGAATATTTGATTCCACTCCCTCCTAACTTGTGAAGTTTGTGCTGAAAAGTCTGATGTTTAGAAGTACGATCTTTAATTCTGTCATTTAAATCGTATATATCTATAATTTTAATTTTATTTTCTCGAGTTTTATTTTCTTTCTAAGCCACCTTGTCACCTTAGTTGTTCACAGTGTTTGAGGAGTTATTTTTTCTGGTATTTAGGGGAAATATACTCTGCTTTTCTTTAAAAAAATTTATTAATAAGAGTGTTTTCTTTAGCAGACTGATAAGAGGTGTTTTTTTTTCTCTCCTATAGGTGTGCACAAGCCTCCTGCACTGCCCAGTTCTCTGGGATCTCTGCTGTGTGGCCAATAAAAAATGCCCTTTATTCCCTATGAGGTTGTGTCTCCTCTGTGAGCAGGTCACCTCAGTCAGAGGACTTTACCCCTGGTTGAGAACGTGATGGGTGATGGGTTTCCAAGCTTCTGAAGAGCCCCTGAGGTCTCCTGGTGCTTCCCCAGCAGCTACAGTGCTGTGCCTTCTAAAGTGCCCCAGATCCCTCCTATGGATCAACCTGGATGGGTGAGGGTGGGTTGTGTTGGGAGAAGCTGCTGGTGTGCCTGTGGCTGTTTTTCTTCCAGTAATGCTGGCCGCTAGGCCCTTGCTGCCTGGCCTCTGTATCTCCACCCCTGTCACTCGGTGTGTGTCTCTTTAGTTGTCAGAGTACTGCTGCTGCAGTTTCCCTTGGGGCCTGCTGCTAGATCTGGGAGGGTTTGGGGAGGTGATCTCTGGGAGGATGGGTGGAGGCAGCCTGGCTTTGTGACTCAGCTTTCTGCCTGGTAGTGGTGGTTGCTAAAATACAACTGTTGCCCCTCTGTATTCCGTCTCTGCCCTGGTGTCTGTCCTGATCACTGGGCTCCACTGAGTGTGTGGTTTATGCTCATCACTCAGGCACGAGTGCTTGTGGCTACAGAGAGTGCAAACCACCACCTAATTTCTCCCTTCTCTTAGAGTCCTTCAGGGAGTTCTGGTCTGAGCTCACAGCACCAGTCTCCACACCTCTCCTTTTTCTCCTCCCTTGCTTGCTCCATTCGCTTACCTTCAGATACTGTGACACGCAGATCTCTCAGATGTGTTTGTGTGTTAGGCTGGGCTTTTTCTATTGAATGTTCAATTTGTTGTATGTTGTAAATTAAGCAGAGAGATCAAGGGGACCCCTCATGCTGCCATGCTTCTGACCAGAACACATCACATTTTCTTTATTTATCTGTCAATGGACACTTAAGAAGTGGGCCTCTAGCACAGCATCCTGCATAGCTGTGGGCACTCATCATACTCTCACCTTCTCCTGTGGGAGAAATCATGGCTGAGGGCATTTCTCATAGCACTGAGCTCTGCTGCATTTGGGGAATGATGACATGGGTAAAGTGAAACTATTTTTACCGTCTTCAATATGTCTATTCTTGGATTTATTTTTGCTTCAGAAAGGCACTGTGACCTCTCCTCTAGACTCTTGGACTCTCAAAAAGTTATTCTCATCTGTGAGTGGTTGTCAAAATCATTGTTTCTACGGGGAAATAGGGGCTGAAAATTCCTATTCTACTATCTTGCTTATTTCACTCCATATGATTAATACTAGTTCATTACTTCTATTTGCTTGTAGTTTACAAGAGAAAAAAGAATGGGGCAGGAGAGACTGACTCAAAATAATGTATATAAAAAAGGTCAACTTGAAGAAGTGGTAATTAAATTAGAAGAGGGAAGGCAGAGTTAGACACACTTAAATTCAGAGAAAAGAGGTTGAAAGCATTCTAAGTTATGGAATTAATGATACTAAATAATTTGTAGTTCTTTTCAAAGAGTATGGACTTAAATATAAGTTGTATGTACTACATCTATTTGGAACTGTTGCTGAATCTTTGAAGGAGGTTAAGGATATAAGAAATATTGCAGAAATAAAACATTAGATCTTGACAAGTGATTTGATGTGGAGACTAGATAGTGGGCAATATTAAGTAAAAAAGTAACTGCTACTGAGTTCAGCTTATCAAGGGTATACATAGAGTTTTAGGAGAAGTCTTATCTATTGGGAGAATTATCTTGGGTCAGGAAAGTGATTAAACAATACTTAGACACTGGAATGTAAAGCCAAAGTTGGATACTAAGAGGAAATACTTTAAAAACAAGTGCTGGAGGGGTTGGGTATGAATAGTTATCAGAGAGACAGAATGAAGGCAGCAGTGGGGACACGGTGCAATTCTGAAGTAAAGTACTGTTGACACCAAGGGGGCATTTCAAACTGAGAATTGAGTATCAAGCTTTTTTACACACATCCTGGAATGTTTATTTGGTGGGGGCTCTAAAGATGACATAATTTATGTTTTGAGCTACTGTAGCCTTGTGATTGAGAGTATGGCTCTGGATTCAGAATGCCCAAGTTCAGATCCTTTAGTAGCACTTATTATTTGTGCTACCTTGAGAAAGTTACTTATACTATCTGTCTGATGTTTGATTTTTTTCCAATGGGTATAAAAATAGTATCTATTTCACTGGTTTCATTTCAATATTAAATAGAATAATTTATGCAGATCTCTGAGAATAGTGCTATTATTATACATTAAAATTATTTTCCATTGTCACTCAGCAAAATAATTGCTTCGTTAGCCTTAACCAAATGTGACAAGAACAGTAAGGAAGCCATCAAAAACATTCACTGGATATGTTTTAGAAATCCAGAGTGATTATTCTCATTTAATTAAGAATACCTTCCAGATTTGAAACAATTGAAGACGTACAGAAAGATTGTACCTCAGTTTGCTTCAGATTAGGATTTTATGAACTACAGATTATTAGTAGGAATTCTCACATTTGAATTGTTTGTCAATATGAATTATAAATGTATATTTATTTTTTTTCAGCTATAGAGATTATCCAGATTTTGTGGGAGCAACCTTTCCTGGCAAGATGTGTGTTCCTCATTATTCTGCAGGAATTGCTTTGGTATTTAATTATTAATCTTATTCTTTAACAAATTATATGTTTAAAAATTACCCAACATTATAGCATTATTTTATACAGGTTATATTTATATTTACATTTAGAGATTGCATTTATTTTTAATTACTGTTAAAAATTTGACGTTTGTAAAAGGAAGAGTATTCTGTCGAACAAGCATCTTGTTGCAATTATTTGAAAGTTAAAGTAGAATAAAAATATAAATACACTTGAATTCTTTAATCTATAGAATAATACATCATGAAAAACTATCTGTATATTTTTATAACCCAAGTAGGTGTTTGCTTGTAGACATAAAATTAGAGGAATAGTTTTACAGATAAAATATCTTCAAAATCAAAACAAATGATCTATTAAAAAGTGTAATAAAAATCCTTTAACGTGTGTTAAACAGTGTGTAAAAGAAACTGTTACATTTATTTTAAATATTTATAGGGCATAAATGTTTATTTTATTTATATATAAATAAATTATTGGTACAATTAGATGTACCAATAATCTCCCTCTCCCTCTCCCTCTTCCTGTACATATTATGTAATTATGCATATTATACATGATAAATACTATTTAATATACATAATAATATGTAATCTATTATATAAATATAATTTTAATAATATTTATGTTTTATTGTTTAAATAATACCTATTTATCTTAGGCAGTGTCCATTAATTATTTGCTATGAAAAATAAGAGATGTTAAATAGCTATACACTTTTCATATCTATTGTTAAAATTTATAAAATTAATAATTTATTCTATAGAACTTTATCTACAGGTTGATTTAATAATTAAACCAATAAATAGTATGTATTTAGTATTTTGAATATATAAATAATATTGACTATTGAATAAAGAAATATATGATTATACTAATAAAGTTTTGATGGTCAAAGAAGGTATCAAGGTCTAATTAAGCTTCTTAATTTGTTTCTAACTTAATTCTATGGGCAAAACCAACTGCCACAGAATATTAAACCTCATCTTTCTTTTCTTGTAATTCTTTGCTATTTTTCCAGAATAGCTCTTGAGTTTACTTTTTAAATAGTGTGTATAAATAAGAAACACTGAGTTATTTTACTAATGAAAATACTTTTGCTTTCCCATCACATTTGATTATTTGGTTAGATATGGAATCCTAGTCCTCATATCTTTCTATCTCAGCATTTTGAAGATTGCTATATTGTGTTTTTGTCATTTTGAAGTGAAAGGAATAAAGAAACTCAAGGTCGTTTATAAGAGAATTTTAACTGATTAAAGAAGGAGAGAAGTCAGTAAGGAAGTTAGGAGCAGTGAAAATTTGGGAACCATGGTTTGGATGTGGTGGTGGGTACACGGATTGTTGGAGTTGAGGTGCTAGAGGAGTGATCAGGAGAGAAACCAGGTGGTCAGGATGTGGGATGTGCTTTATAGTAATAATGGAGGAGTTGCAGTTATTGATAAAGCTCTGGTGACAAGGCTTAAAGTGTGAACCAAAGAAATGAGTAGCTGAGGCAGAGTTTAGGATAGAATAATTAGAGGAGATGAATTTAAGGAGTTGTTTTTTTTACAAAGCTTTTATACTTATACTTTTAAAAAACCTTTATATTTCTTTGCTTAAATGCTCTGATACTTTACCACAATTTAACATTTCTATAAACAATTGTTTTTATGCTTTAAACATAACAAAAATTGTATCCTAATGTGTCATCCTTCTATTTGAATTTTTTATTTCCACTTATAATCTTAAGATTTATTCTTCTGGCGCATTGAATTCTAGTTAATTTTTAAAAGTCTTCATTTTTTTAAATAGAAATTTTAGGTTCACTGCATAATTGAGAGGAAAGTACAGAGATTTCCCAAACCCTTCCTCACTGTTAACCTTCCACACTAGAGTGGTACATTTGTTATAAATGGTGAACCTACACTGCACATTATAATCACCCAAAGTCCATAGTTCACATTAAGATTCACTCTTGGTGTTATACATTCTATGAGTTTTAGCAAACGTATAGTGACATATATCTAACATTATAGTATCATAGAGTAGTTTTACTGTACTTAAAATCTTTTGTGTATAGTTAATTTTTTGCATTTGTTTATGGTATTTCATTATATAAATTTGCTGCACTGTATCCTTTATACTTTTCATGAACATTTGTTTCTATTTTTGCCATTACAAACAATATTTAGTAAACATCTCTATACATTTCTCTTCCAATCTCTATTTGATCCTTTTTTTTTTTTTTTTAATAGAACCTCAGTTTTCAGATGGGGAATATTCCTGCTCACACAGAAGCCTTCATTTCTTAGCTTTTTTTTTGTAGCTAGATTTTTCTAAGTTTCATTCAATGAGATGTAAGCAGAAATAACATTTGGAATTTCCAGGAAGCTTCTTTAAAAAGATGGCACCCATTCTTCATTGTGGCCTTTCTCCAATCTGCTGTTTAAAATGCCATGTAAAGACAAGGTTATTACCTAGGCAGCATGGAATAGGAAGCTGGAAGGACCTCAAATGCCTAAAGACCCAGAAACTTTTTTTATGTGTGTGAGAGAGAAATTTCTTTCTACTTTAAGTCATTATTATTTTGAAATTTCTATGTCATGCAGCTATATTTAATCCTAGCAATTCAGGAATATTTCTTATAAACAGCATGTAACTATATCTATTTTCCCTATCCAATATGACAATATGTGCATTTTAATTATTTCAGTTTAAATCATGAACATTCTTATGTTTATTGGTATTTTTAAAATTAATGCTATCACTTTATTTTCCATTTTTCTTTGTTTGTTTCTTTGCCTCTACTGCTTTGCCAACAGTCCAATATCACTAAAGAAAATTGAAAATAATATTCTTCCAGCAAAAGGAAAGTGATTTCAAATGGGAGATCTGAGAATCAGGGAATGAAGAGTAATAAAAGAAATAATTGTTTGAATATGGCCTGCATGAATCAATAATAGTTGTGTCTGGTAATATATAAATAGATACAATATTAAATTAAAGCAAACGACAATAATGTATCATAGGTGGTTGGCTGATAACACAGTTTACAACTGTGGCTGGAAAGCATGTGCCAATTCATGGTCCATGTTTCTTAGACCTCCTTATATCTAGATAGAGCCATGTAGTATGAATAGGAGTAATGCGTGTCACTTCTTGGTTGGAGCAGTTAAAACTGGTGTGAGCCTTTCTTTTGGTGAGTTTAATGAGAAAGACATAAATAAGGACAGGAGCATAGTACATAATTATTTCGACATATGTGAGGCTGCCTACTAACCAAGAATATCTATATTGGGCTTTATGTGAATATATTAAACCACTAAGATTTTAGAATCTCATTTGTAGCAGCATCTAACATTAACTTATTCATATAATAATATATATAGATCTGAGCAGTGTAAATAGAGTTAAAGAACAAAACAAAATGAAATGTATTTTTATATACTGGCAATAAACAGAAAATGGAACTTTAAAAATAGCATACAAATCAAGAAGTTTAGGAATAAAAAACTACCAAATGGTGTATACACCTCTATAGAGGAAATAAAACATTAGAGGCAGTGCCTAAGATTCTAGATTGGCAGACAATATTATAAAGATGTTGACCCACCCAGTTGATCTACAGGTTGAATGTGGTCCCCAATATAAATCCTAGCAGCAGGTTTTTTTTTTTTTTTTTTTTGAGTGTGTGTGTGCGTGTGTGTGTGTATAAAACTGACAGGTTAAATCTACAATTTATATGATGATATAAAGAGTTAAGAATAGCTAGGGTAATCTTGGTGAATAACATAGCAAAGGACATACTGTAGTTGATATCAAGACTTTTTATAAAGCATCAATATTTGAGACAGAGACAAATAGACCAATGAAACAGAATATTTGAGAGTTAAGAAACAAAAAAGAGATAGTTTTTTGTTTCTTAATGGTTTACTAAGATGACTTTGTAGCATACTTGTTAATGGATAATCATTTTTATTGCACTAAAATTGGTATTTAACATTATATGTTTTGTCTGTACAATATTATAATTTGACGTTAGTATACACTACAAAGTGATCAGCACCAAAACTCTTAATTATAGTGAATGATCTTTTTTGACAAATGTAACTTTGCTGCTACTTGTTGCTATTCAACAGATAAAATTTAGTTAGATTGTAGATCTATATGTAAAATTAAATAATAAAACCTTGGTAGGTAAAAAAACGAAAAGAACATAGCTTCATGACTATGGGCATAGGGGAAGATTTCTTAAAGTAGATATTAAAATCATTAATCATAAAGAAAGAGCTGGATGAATTGGATCACATCAAATTAAGGAAATTTTGTTCATGAAAAGATATTAAAAGAGTGAAAAGAAAAGCCACAGAGTAGGCAAAGTACTTGCAATGCATGACTAACAATGATTCATACACTGAATATATAAAATGCTCTCACAAATCAATAAAAAGCCTAATGCAGTAGAAAAATAGACAAGATACTTGAATAAACACTTCACAAAAAGGGTAACCAAATTGTCAAAAAGTATGTGAAATGCAAGTTAAAACTTAATGAAATATACTACCTTATACCCCTGACTAGAAATGATAACATAAAAAAGACGGATAACTCTTAAGTGTTTCATTCTCCTTGGCTAAGAACTTATCTGCACACTTGTTAAATACATGAGCAGTCTAATCCAGGACTGTGCTTTCTCCTGATACCAGTTACTATGTCATTGAGAGTACTAGCAGAAAGCAAATATCACACTTAAACTCAGTAATTTGGTTATGTGGGCACTTTGTGAGGTGCGAGGCAGAATATCATGTGGACTATTCTAAGTGTATATAAGAGCTGTTGTAAGAAATTAGAAAATAAAGGTAAATTGAAGGTAAATTGAAGGTCATGGTCCATATAATAGCCAAAACTCTCATGTAAAAACAGCCCTTTTATTTAGTTATGGTAACTACTTATTATATTAGTCATTCAGCTGTTAAATCGTGGCAAAACTTGGTGTAGAGTCAATATGCTTATATCTCAATAAGATTTCATAAAAAGAACTTCAGCTTCTCCCCTGTCCAAGGAGCTGTATTACCCTATTCTTAAGTATTTGATAAAACAATAAAAATGTTCAGAATTAGAAAAATATTTTTTCTACCACCCTTCAATGAATTGTTTTTTGTTTTTGTTTTCTTTGTTGCTAATGTAGTATCCCAAGGAGATAACTTTGGAGGCGTTTTCAGTAATCATCACCCAGATGCTGGGACTCAGTCTAGGAATATCATACGATGACCCAAAGAAATGTCACTGTTCAGGAGCCATCTGTATAATGAATCCAGAAGCAATGTAAGTTTTTTTAAAATCAGATTTGTTTCTTGGTTATGTTTAATTTTGTTTTAAATATTTAAAGTGCCAAATATAATATTTCCTTACAGCTCAAATTAACTATAAATGGACCAAGTACTATAAATATAAACATGAAATTTTCAGTAAAAGAGGAATATGGAAGGAGATGTACCATTAAGAACAGCCAAGGATAACAAATCCAATCTGCAAGATATATTACCAAAGAAATTCTCTTTAGGCTGTGTATTTTATGAAAGCACTTATTAAGGATCTTTAAAAACATGTCAGCAGGCCATAATAAGTAGCCTTTATTTTTAGACAGAATTTTTGTTTTTGCTTTTAGAGTAGTTTAATGTTGTGGAAAAACTGCCATCCAAAGAATAAGTCCTAGTTAGAGGCCAATATCAAATATATGATATTTGTGTAACTTTGGACACATTACATGATTTTGTTTAGATTTATCTCATTCATCTTTAAAATGAGAATGATTATGCCTATTCTCTTATTTCACAGAGCAATGTAAGGATAAAATAAGAAAATAAAACAGGAAAGTGTTTTCTAAACTGTAAAATCCATAGGTATATGATGGATTAGTTACAGTTATTTCTAATTTTGCCAATGTTTCCCAAATGGCATATCAGACAAGGACTAGAGCGGTGTCATTAGTGTTCTACAGTTTCTTTTTTTTTATTTTGTGAGAGGGCCTATACCTATTCATAATTGAAGAACAATCAAAAGTCAAATGTGAAAATAAGGCATTAATTTTTGAAAACATGCTTTTTTCATAATTCTAAGCACCACCTAAGGGTTAACTCTTATATTCTAAAAATAGTTCAAATTCAAACATGTATATTTGTATATGCACACATATTACAAATTAGTTCTAAGTGGATTACATATATAAAAACATTTTATACATAGAATATAATTTATTAAACATATAAGCTAATTTTTATAATAACATGTTTATTAAATCAAATACATAATATATATAGAATTATAAACAAAATGATAATTACTGTTCTGGGCCTGTTGTCCATTTGGCCAACTATTCTCAAGTATGCTATGACAAAATGTTTTCTGTGTCACTGAGTCTAGTTAGTATTAATGATAAGAATAATATTTACATTGTACCTACCACGTGTTAGAAATTATTCCAAACACTACCTATATTTACTCATTTGATTCTCACAACATCTCTTTAGGGCAGGTAATATTATACCCATTTTTACAGATGAAAAATTGGTCAGATAACCAGTTTGTGACAGACCTGAATTTTGAAGCTAGGCATTCTGGCTTTAGAATCTGGTTTAATAAATCTTTAGGTTTGTATGGTGCTTTATAATATTTAAAATGCTTTCATACATGTTTTCCAGTTTCTTTCAAAACTCTTGCGGTATGCATTAGGCAAGTGTTATTTTTAGAAAATCTAATATATATATATATATCTTTTGTATTGCTACAGTACATCTCATAGATTGTTTTATGTAATTTTCAAAGAAGGCATGTGAGTAAGTAAGGCAAATATTATTATTTCCATTTCATGTGTTTTTTTAAAGTCTCTGGAGTACAAGCCTAAATGACTCTACATTTAATATACAACTAGTTAATGGCCAAAGTTCAGCTGTTATCAGTAATGTCACCAATGATTTGGTGGACACTTAATATAAGCTGAAGAAATGAATTAGACACTTTGCTTATTTAATATTATTTAACCCTTACAACAACTCTATGAGATGAATGGGTATTATTCCTGTTTTATAGATGAGAAAACTGATACTTAGAGAGTTTAATCACTTTAACCTAAAAGCCTCATAAGTCACAGAGCTGGTATTAGTCAACGAGTTAATATAACTCAAAAGTTTTGTTATTTTTTTACTCCATACTGACTTCATATAAAAGACAATTAACATATTGGAATTAACTTAAACCAAGTAGCAAGAGAACATTAGTATGAATTTGTACAAACTTCATTCTTACACTTTGGGGATCTTTCTAATGTATTATTTTGATGATTTAATTTATATCTACTTTTTAAAATGAGTTGCTCATGTTTTAAATCCTCACTTTCAATACAATCTGCTCACACAAATGAGTACAGAAGTGAAAGGAGGAAAGAGACATAGAAAATGACAATAGCTATGAATGTAGGAACCACGGTCAAGGTTTGCTTTTCTATCTGGTTGCATCATTTTACACATAGGAAAAAACATTTAGAAGGAGCATGGAGTTATTAATTATTCAAAGAAATTAAATTATTTTATTCATATTGCTTTCTCTTAATTCCTTGTGTAGATCAGTTTTATTAAGCTATAGAAATTTGATTGAGGAAGAGGGAGATACCATTTTGGAGTATGATATACATTGAGGGCACATGGGCTTTGGAATTGTTTATTTGTTTGCTAATTTTTCTAACACTTAGTTTTTTTCATCTGAAAACTAAGGACTGTGATAGCTACATCACTCAGTTGTGATGATGCAAGTTATCAAGGTATATGTAAATTATCTACCATTGTTCTCTTATCTCTTATTTTTTGAGGAGTAGGGAAGACCTAGGAAAGTATTAAAATGGTGCTGTTAGAATACACAAGAACAGTGAGAACATGGAATTTTGGGGGAAAAGTGTAAAAGAGAGAAAGATCTTGAAAAGGAAATGAGATAGTGTGAAAGATAAACTTTTCTCAAAATTCTTTCAAGTGCTAACCCCAACTTCAGGAAAATGGTAGAGAGCACTACTTTCTTTCTTATAATTTCTCTCAATTACTTAATTTCTCTGTTTTGTGACTTCAAAATTTAGGATAGTTATATGACAGTTTCAATAAACTTTTATAAAATAATTTGGGAACAGAGCTAACATTAGAATTTAGAGTGAAAAATCTCAACCAAATAAATGAGAAAAACTCCAGATAACTGATTACAAATAAACTTTGGAAAGACATGTTCTTAAGTTAAGGACTGTCATTATGGGCCACAAAAAGGTGAATAATTATATATATATATATATATACATACACACATATTGTATTGTATTGAATTGTATTGTATTGTATTGTATTGTATTGTATTGTAACATGTTATATATAATTGACTATAGTTCCCAGAGCCAAAATATCATATCATTTTTTTATTAAAAATTTTCTTCACCTTTAAATTTTGGTGATAAGATCACCAAATTACATGGTTTAGAATAAAATATCTATTACTATTTAATAGTAAATATTTTATTGAATTACGTGATGTTCAAAGATGAATATTTGGGTAAAAAGTACCTGAATTTGAAATCTTAAATAACTGTGTGAATACTGATCCTGTTAATTTACAAACTGAGCTTGGTGAGGTTTTTAGCTTCTTTGAATGCTGGTTCAATTTCTATAAAATCTTGATGAAAATACCAACCTCCCTGGTTTGTGGGGAGGATTAAATGATCAACTGTATAAAATATCTGGCTAATAATAGGTGCTCAAGAATGTCTGTTTCCTCCTTGCCTTATAGGTTTTTACTACATATGAGAGTGGCATCTATGGAATTATTCTCTGAAGTTATTTTTATAGTTGTATATGGACATAATTATGTAAAATTTTGGTTAATATACAGTTTCTCTGAGATTTTTGAGAAAATTCAGGACTAAGCACAGTGTAGTCTGTTTAATAAAAGTGTTGTTATTATGAAGAATCAATAAAGGACACCAACAATAAAGAAGACAAAATTCCTGCCTCAAGCATTTACAGTTTAATGAATTATCTATCATGTATATGTACTACAAACCTATGAATCAAAACTGAAAAAACATTGAAATAGAAGATATTCACACTTTCAAAGAGCTTGATACTTTATAATGGTCAGGAAAAGGGTAGAGGAAGTAGAAGTTTGAAGAGTTGTTACATATGGGAATTTACATAAAATAATACAGGGCTTTTTCTTCCATGCCATCATTTCAGTTTTATTTTACCTAGGCAAAGATGTCATTTACTTATATAACCATTTTCTCTGTATGCAAGGATTTGTATACAAATCTCACCAAAAGCTCAAAAAATTTTAAGGTAGATTTAGTTTGTCATGCATATAAAAATAAAATGATCTATTATTAATTATTTTGGTGGTAGGAACACTTAATGGGAGTCCTCTAAAATTTTTAAATATACCGTATAGTATTGTTAACTGTATAGTAGATCTCTTGAATTTATTCATCTTGCACAACTGAAACTTTATACCCATTAAACAACTCCTCACGTTCCCCTTCTGGCCTCTGGCAATCACCATTCTACTCTCTGCTTCTATGAGTTTAACTATTTTAGATACCTCATATAAGGGAGATCATGCAGTAGTTGTCTTTATGTGACTGGCTTATTTCACTTAGCATGATATCCTGGAGATTCATCAATGTTGTTACATATGGCAGATCTCCTTTTTTTTCAGACTGAATAATATTTGGTTGCATGTATGTACCACATTTTCTTTATTTATTCACCTGTCAATGGACGTTTAGTTTGCTTTCATATCTTTGCCTATTGTGAATAAGGCTGCAGTGAACATGGGAGTGCAGATATCTCTTTGGGATCCTGATTTCAATTATTTTGAATGTATATTCAGAAGTGACATTGCTGGATCATGTGGTAGTTAGATCCTGATTTCAATTATTTTGAATGTATATTCAGATGTGAGATTGCTGGATCATGTAGGAGTTATGTTTTCCACAGTGGCTGTATCAATTTACATTCCCATCAATAGTGTACCAGGGTTCCAATTTCTTCACATCCTCACAAGCACTTATTTTTTTTTTAAATAATAATAGCCATTCTAACAGGTGTGAGGTGATATCTCATTGTGGTTTTGATTTGCTTTTCCCTGAATTAGTGATGTTTAGTATCTTTTCATATATCTGTTGGCTATTTATATGTCTTCTTTGGAGAAATATCTATTCAAGCCCTCTACCCGTTTTTCAATCAGTTGTTTGTTTTTACTATTGAGTTGTACTTAAGTTTGTTTTAATAAGGATATGTATTTCAGTGAATGAAATCAAAGACTTTCTCAATAATGATTATGGCCTCTAAGCACTCGTTATGAACGTTTATTATTTCCTATTAAATTTAACATTTTGAAATTAATTTATATCATACAGAAGTATACTGCCAATGACATTATATGGATTCATCTTTAGGCAATCCAGTGGTGTGAAGACTTTTAGCAATTGCAGTTTGAGTGACTTTGAAAAATTCATTTCAAATATGGGTGCCAAATGTCTTCAGAATAAGCCACAAATGCAAAGGGCTCCAGCAGCAATCTGTGGCAATGGCAAAGTGGAGAGCGGTGAAATCTGTGACTGTGGTACTGAGGAAGTAAGTCTGATAATTAGGAAAAATGATTAATAAATTTATTGTTTTAGTTAATTTCTTTGTCATAAAAGTTACATATCTCAAAAAAAAAATGACTGAGTACCACATAGAATATTGGCAGTAAGTGAAATCAAGGTTGAAATAATGCAAGAATATATTCCCTAGGTTTTATAGGTTGGAGAGTTTTGAATAAATATAAAATGTACTTAAAAAAATTATTGCTGATGAGAAAACGGGAGATTAGAATGAGATTTTGGATTGCAGACTGAATATATAAGATCTTTCCAAATCTGTGCTTAACCTTTGGATATTTAATAAATGTCTTATTGAAGATTACTATGACAGTGGATCATCAATTATTCTTTAGGGTCTTACTTCACAATGGATTCAGTAGTGTTGTGAAGGAAGACTGTGTTAATATTATAGTTTGAACACTGGGTGATTTTGATAAAAAACTCCTGAAAGTATAAGGATTGTAAAAAGTCCAGGATATGATGCTTCTAGACAATTCAGTATTTGCAGAAATACAGCAGATGCTACAAATTTCCATGATTACAAGATAGATGAAAATGAAATTAGGGTTTGATGCATTTGTGGGTTCAAATGTACTTTACCTGTATTACATTTTTAAAATTACTATGCATTTCTTTGTATTATGTTTTACCATTCAGTAGAACAAATCTTCCCTTTTTACTCTTCTTCATTTATTTTAAGATCAATTTTATTGGATATAATCTGCATGCAATAAAGTGTACTCATTTTACATATACAGATTGATGAGTTTTAACAAACATATATAAGCATTGGTGCAATTAAGATACAGATTCTTTTCATTATCCCCCAAAGTTTACCCCCTCTCCTACTCCCTCTGCAGTTGTTTCGACTTCTCATCTCCAGGCAGCTGATGATTATGTCAGTCTTGCCAGATATAGAAAGTCATATGAAAGGAATGATACAGAACATATTCTTTGTGTCTGGCTTCTTCATTTCAATACAGTGTTTTCGAGATTCATCCACATTGTTTTATGTCATAATAGTTTCTTCTTTTTTATTTTTTGTAATAATTCATTGTTTGGATATACCAAAATCTGTTTTTCCATCTACCTGATAATGGATATTTGAGTTGTTAACAGTATTGGGCCATTATTCTGAATTCCTAAAAGTAAAATTGCTGGCTTATATGATAAGTATATTATTATAAGAAATTTCCAAACTATTTTCCAAAGTGGTTGTATCATTTTACACTCTTATCAGCAATGTATGAAATTTTTATTTTCTCCACATCTTCACCAGAATTTGATATTTCAGCTTTTAATTTTAGCCATTCCAATGGTTTTGATTTTTATTTCCTTGATGACCCTAATGACGTTGAGCATGTTCTCATGTCCTTATTAGCCATTTGTCGTTTGAATAATCTGTTCACATCTTTTGCCAGTTTTTAAAATTAGGTTATTATTATTATTATTATTTTGATTATTGACTTGTAAGTGGTCTTTATAAAGGCTGGATACCAGACATGTGTATTACAAATATTTGTATGGATTACCTTTTTAGTTTTTTAACAAATTCTTTTAATAGCAGGCGTTTTTTTTATAAAGTCTGATTTATCATTTTTTTTCTTCTATGGTCACGCTTTTTCTGTCGTAGTTACTCTTTGCTTACTCAAGGTTATGAATATTTCCTCCTGTTTTCTACTAGAAGTTATACAATTAAAAATTTTAAGTTTAGTCTGTGATGCATTTGAGCTTGTTTTTGTTTTTGTATTTTTGAGAGATTTGGGTCAACATTCATTATCCTCAATATGAATATCAGTTTTTTCTGGCAGTATTTGTTAACGTAATTATCTTTTCATCATTGTTTTACCTTAACATCCTTATGAAAATAAATTACCATGTGTGTATCTATCCTTGGATTCTTTTCTGTTTATATGTCTGTCCTATGCCAATTCTACATGGTCTTAATTAATATATTTTTACAGTAAATCTTGAAAACAGATAGTGTAAGTAAATTATTCAACTTTGTGCATGTTCTTTAAGATAGTTTTACTATTCTAGGATCTTTGTATTTCTATATAAATTAGAAAATCAGCATGCAATTTTGGGACTTCAATTAGAATTGTGTTGGATCCATACATCAAATTTGGGGGAATTACTTTCTTAACAATATTGAGTCTGCCAATCTATGTACATGGTGTACCTCTACCCTTATTTAGGTCTTCTTTAGTTTATTTAGTTCTTCTATAGTTTACTGGTTTTGATAGTTTTGTTTTAATATTTTGTTTAACAATTGTCCATTGCTAGTATAAAAAATACAATTGACTTTTGTGAATCCACCTTGGGTCTAGTGTTGATTAGAACTGCTGAAAGTGGTCTTCTTTGCTTTATTCTTATTTTTAGGAGGAAAGCTTTCTGACTTTTACCATTAAATATGATTTTAGATATAAGCTTTTTTTATTTAAACAGATGCCCTTTATTGTGTTGAGGCTATTCCTTTCTTTTTCTAGTTAGCTGAGAGTTTTGAATCAAGAATTAGTGTTGAATTTTGTCAGATGTCTTATTTCTGTGTCTGTTGAGCTGATCTTATGAATTTACCACCTTTTCTCTATTAATATGGTGTATTTAATTGATTGGTTTTGAATGCTAACCCAAACATGCATTACTATGATTAGCCTTACTTGCATGTCTATCTATCTAGTTAGCTAGATTTAATTTATCAATATTTCATCAGAATTATGGCACTTATTTTCACAGGGACATTGTGGGCTGTCGTTTTTTTTGTAATATTTCATATTGTTTTGGCATCAGAGTAATTTTGAACTCAAATGAGTTGGAAAGTACTCTCTTCCTACTTTCTGAAATAATTAATTTAAGACTGTCATTGCTCCTGTTTGTTTGTGTGTGTATGTATGTATGTATGTATGTAGATATGTATGTATTTAATTTGTTGTGGAAGTGCACTTAACATGAGATCTTCCCTCTTAAATCGAATCTTCTGGAAGCTTTATAGTTTTTTATTTTACATTTAGGTTTGTGATCCATTCTGAGATATGGTGTGTTTAAAAGGTGTAGGGTCAGTGTTTAGTGTCATTATTTTCCATGTGAATGTCCAGTTGTCCAGCATCATTTGTTGAAAAGACTGTTCATTCTCCACTGAACTGCATTTGCTCCATTGTCAAAGATTTTATTGTCTCTGTGTAGGTCTATTTCTGGGTCTCTATTTTGTTTCAGTTACCTCATTTTCTATTACTTTGTGAATACCACATTGCCATTATTTCAGTTTATAGTAAGTTTTGAAGTTAAGTATTGTCAGTCCTTCAACTTTCCTCTTCCTCTTTCTCCTTTTTCTTTTTATTTACTATATTAACCTCTCTGGGTCTTTTGCTTCTTCATATAAACTTTAGAATCAGTTTGTCCACTAACCAGAATTTTTATTGGAATTACATTGAATTTCTAGATCAAATTGGAAAGAACTGGTAACTTAATAATATTGTTTTTCCATCCATGAACATGGTATATCTCTCCATTTACTTATACTTTCTTTGATTTCTTTCATCAGAGTTTTGTATTTTTTTTTCAAATAGATCTTATACAATTTTGTTAGAACTATTCTTAAGTACTTCATTGTTTTGGTGCTAATGTAAATGAGATTGTGTTTTTATTACAAATTCCCATTTTTTATTGTTAGTATACAGGAAAACAATTGACTTTTATGCATTAACTTTATATCCAGCAACCTCGATATATTCACATATTAGTCACAGGAGATTTTTGTTGTTGTGTTGTTTGGTTTATTATTTGAAATTTTCTTTCTTTCTGACATGTATATTTTTAAGTTTTATTTTCTTACTGCACTAGCTAGGACTTATAGTAAGATTTTGACAGAAATGGTAAGAGGGGATATCTTTGCCTTTTTCCTGGTATAAGAGGGAAAGCTTATCTCACCATAAGTATGTTAGCTGTAGACTTTTTCTAGATGTTCATTATCAGATTGAAGACATTTCCTTTATTCCTGCTTTGCTAACATTTTGTATAATAAGTGAGTGTTGGATTTTTTCAGATGCTTTTTCTACAGTTGTTACGGTTGTATGATTTTTCTTCTTCAGACAGTCAGTATGATGGATTATATTAATATATTGATGATTGATAAAACAGCCTTGCATAATTGTGATAAATTTCACTTGGTTGTGGTGTATAATTCTTTTTATACATTGTTGTATTTGATTTTCTAATTTTTTGTATCCATGTTTATGAGAGATATTGGTCTGTAATTTTTTTTCCTGTAATATCTTTGCCTGGATTTGGTATTAGGGTAATACTGGCCTCACAGAATGAGTTAAGAAGTATCACACATCAATGCTGGGAGAGTAGTGTGTCTTTGATTCCATGGGATGAAGATAATAAGAGCTCCATGTTTAGTACTTCTCCTGGATTCTGTCCTAGGCACTTTTTCTCTTGGCTGATTTTAATTGTATCCTTTCCATAGGATAAATAATGATTGTGAATATACCATCTTTCTGTGAGATCTGTGAGTTCTTCCAGTAAATTATCAGACCTGGGGGGAGTTTTGGGAATCCGCTGAGCTTGTGATTGGTGTAAGAAGTGAGGGTTGTTTTGGGGACTGTTCCCCTTAATTGCAGTGAGCCTAAACCCTACACACCTTTTCCCCCTAGCTTTACTGAAGTATGATTGACAAAAATTATAAGCTACATGGTGTGGTGTTTTGATATATGTATACATTGTGAAATGATTATCACAGTCAAACTAATTAATATGTCCATCACCTCACACAGTTACCAGTTTTTGTGTGCGTGTGTGGTGAGAATACTTCATCTGTCCTCTTACCAGATTTCAAGTATACAATCCATTTTTGTTAACTGTGGTCATCATACTGTACATTAGATCCTGAGAACTAATTCATCTTACAAATGAAAGTTTCTACCCTTTGGTTGGTATCTTCCCTTTTCTTCCACCCTTCTGACACTGGAACCACCATTCTACTTTCTTTTATTGTTATCTAATTTCTGAAAAATATTTTCCCAGATAGTTTGCCTAGTTTTCTAGTTGATTAAGAATTAGTGGAGTTTCAGTTCCTCTGTTTTGATGTGAAGTAACTTAGAATTTTAATTGTTTAGAGATTTAAAAACCTGTAATTGTTGACAGCATTCATATTTTTTTCCCAAAACGCAAAAAATAAGCCCATTAAATATAGCTCCTACCAAAGTTTATATTATCTTATAATATATTTTTATTTGCATTTCATTTATTCATAGCAATGTGGACCTGATAGCTGTTGTAATCCTAAAACTTGTGTGCTGAATCAAGGATCACAATGTGATAGAGGATTATGCTGCAAGGGTTGTAAAGTAAGATTTAAGTGTATTAATATCTTCCAAGTATAAAATGACTCATGTTTGGGTTTCTTTGAAACACTTAGACCTATAGCTGCAAGTCAAATAAATGACCTTCAAATAAATAAAAGAGACTAAGAATGAAATAATAAGCTTAGGAAATAGAGCTGACCAGATAGAGGAAAGATTAGTGATATTGAAGGCAGAAATCTGGAACTGATGCATTTGGAAGAAGAGAGAGACTTCAGAGTGAAAAAAAAAAAAAAAAAAGAACTCACCGAGAACTGTCTGATACTATCAGAAAAAAGCAGTATAAGAATCATGGGTATATCGGAAGGAGTGGAGAGGAAGGGAACAGAGAGCCTATTCAAGCAAATAGTTGATGAGAATTTCCCAAACCTATGGAAAGAACTGGACTTTTGAATCTAAAAAACAAACAGAACACCTAATTATCTCAGTCCAAAAAGGCCTTCTCCAAGACACGTTATATTAAAAACTGTCAAAAATTAATGACAAATCTCAAGGAAGCCAGGGAAAAGAAAATCGTAACCTATTATGGAAAGCACGTTTAGATTATTATTGGATTTTTCAGCACAAACTTTACAAGCTAGGAGGGAGTAGAATCAAATAGTTAAACCATTAAAAAATTACCGGCCAAGAATAATATATCCAACAAAGTTCTCCTTTAGATATTAAGGAGAGATAAAGACCTTTACAGACATACAGAAGCTGAGGGAATTTTCCACCATGTGGCCTGCAATGCAGGAAAAACTGAAGGGAGTCATTCTACATTAAACAAAAGGACAAACAAAACAAAACAAAACAAAACTATGAATAAGATGACTAACAGGCAGAAACAGGAAATTGAAACCCTTATTAAGAACAAGGTATTATAAATTTAAGTATTACATAATGATTAAAAGTCAAGTAAAAGATAATAAATTCACAATCATGTGTCTGGTTTTGCAAACTTTAGCTAGATATTGAGACCTCTTTCTAATGCCATTATTCGCCTTAAAGTAATTCTGTTGTTTTAAGACCTTGATTGAGAGCTATTACATAATTCTTCATACAGAAAATCTCTATGAAAAAGGATTTTTTCTATTCACCTTATTCAGTATTTACATTTTTGTAAATAAAAATGTTACTGGTTGTGATAGGTATCTATATGTATGTAATTGAAAGACACAGCAGTTTCCCATAAAAGTAGAAATGTAGAAACTCACTAGAAGTAACACTTTCAAAATGCTTCATGTTAGCACAAAATTTAAACTAAGTTATTATTTAAAAATTATTTGTCTTAAAGTTTACATTTTAGCTAAGTGGTAAAGATGTTAACTCCTGTCCCCTTTTCCTTTTCAGCTCTTTCAATATATTTGTAACAAATTTGTTATATGAGAATCCTTCTATTGAAATGCCTACCGTGGGTTTTATGTTCTTGACTGTCCTTCACTAACACAGTTTTATGTTATTTTTCTCTAGAATCTTACCACATGATTACATTCTACCTCTGATCTTTTTTTTTAATGAAAAACTTCAATATTTTATTCAGTTCTGAGGCATAATATACATAAAATTTAAAAAATGTTTAACAAAGTACTATTAGAATAGCAAAAAGTTAATGAAATAGTCTACAATGATAGCAAAAATGTATCAAGTTTTTTTCTGTATTTATTGAAATATAATAGACAACTAGTTGCCTGCATTTACATCGTACAATCAAATGAAGTTGTTTTTTTTTTCAGTTATAATTGGCATACAACACACTAGCCTCAACTGTACAGCATATTGATCAGGAATCTACACAACTTGCAAAGCGATCACCCCACCAAATCTAGCACCCTTCCTCCCCCAACATATTCATTCCAACATTATTAACCATCTTCCCTATGCTATCTCTATATCCCCATGTCTATTCTGCAACCATCCACCTGCACCTCTAATCCCTTTGTTTGCCCTCTTTCCCGCCAACCCCCCTCTCATCTGGGATCCCTCAAAATATTCTCTGTATCTATGAGTTTATTTCCACTTATGTTGTTCTCATTGTTGATTTTGTTCTTTAGATTCCACATGTACATGAAATCAAGTGATATTTGTCTTTCTCTATCCAACCGATTTCATTCAACACAATACCCTCTAGGTCCATCAAGACAATATATTTTTCTCTCTCCTTCCTTTTAGTCTGTGTGTGTCTTTTAATCGTAGGTAGCATATGTAGGGAGCTTGTTTTCTTATCCATTCAGCCACTCTATCTTTTGGTTGGAGCACTTTGGTTTTTCCATTTGAGGTACTTGTTGATAGGAATGTAGCTGTTACCATTCTTTATTCCTGTTTTTGATACATGTTTTTTCTTCTTAAAGAAGTCCCTCCAACATTTCCTGTAATACTGGCTTGGTGTTGATAAATTCCTTTAGCTTATTTTTGTCTGGGAAGATCTTTATCTGTTCTTTTACTCTAAATGATAGCTTTGCTGGATAAAGTATTCTTGGCTGTAGATCCTGGGTTTTCAACAAGTCAAATATTTTGTGCCAAACCCTCTCTGTCCTACATAGTTTCTTTTGAGAAATCAGTTGCCAGTCTTATGGGTGCTCCCTTATAGGTAACGAACTGCTCTTCTCTTGCTGCTTTTAAAATTCTCTCTTTGTATTTAAACTTTGGCATTTTAATTATGATGTGTGGGCCTCTCTGAGCTTCCTGGGGTTCTATGCCTATTTCTTTCACCAGCTTAGGAAAGTTTTCTATCATTACTTCTTCAAATATGTATTCAACTTCTTGTTCTCCCTCTTTAGGTATCCCTATGACTCAGATATTTTTACCTTTAATAGTGTCCCATAGGCTCCTTAAATTATTAATATAGTCTTGCATTCTTTTTTTTTTTTTTTTTTTTTTTTTTTTTTGGGATTCAGGTAGAGCCCATACTACTTATAAACGCAGTTTCCATTAAGGTCCCACGATGGACAGAAAATTCAATCTTCTGCCCCTTATGACATTCCTTGGGTCCATATCGTTATTCCAGCCATTCCCTAGTTCCCTTTGATTTGTGACAATGGGCAAGGCCCTTCATTTTGGGCGAAGTTGCCAGTTA